GCACCATTAGCTAAAAGCAGTGACAGGCTGCAGTATATGAAAAATGAGCTATTGATAATTGAGCACATTATGCACTAAACCTGCTATTCCACATCATCCTGGGTCATTTTAACCTTTGGTTCTAACAGCTTGGCCCCCATGTGATCAATAAACAGACAACAAGGACACCAGCAAACCCTGAGCCAGATGCTCACGAGTCACCCCACATGTGAAGTATCTGTCTGAGCCTCAGCTCCAGCCTTTCTAAAGGCTCGTCTGCGTCTGGCTGCGTTGCCTGGACATCACACTGGGCTTCTACAAATCTCACTCATGTGTTTTGAAGTCCCACTCAGTGTTTTATAGCAGGCTTAGCCTGATCTTGTTATGTCCATGCAAAACCCAAGTTTGTTCTCGACACCATGGCAAGCTCTGTTTTTCATCTTGTTATCGTACACTGTGTCATCTGTACGACATCACACAAAGCTGCATTTAACTCAAAGGAGTGTCACAGACAAATCTATTTTAATATGTGGAAAAACAAGACAGCTGGGCCAGGGTACAGCAGATTTTTTTTTTTTTTTAAGTAGACCTACTAGCAAGTTTTGACATGTCCTTCCACTGACCCAGCTCTGAACACTCAGAATCTATTGTTTTACCTCATCTTTCATCTCCACTTGAAAGCAGGCCCACTCCCCTGGCAGCGGCCTTATCTGCGATCAGGGCCGATGTGTTTATCACACCACTTCACCTCAGGCCCTGACAGTTCCTAATTAGGACTTTTATATGAGCTGCTGGGTGTCGTCCAGACTTACGATTGTGTTACTTTGCTGCAGCATGACGAGTGAGTCCATTCAGATGTCATGCATGCCACATTTCCACCCAAACACTTGGTCTCCCTGTGCTCTTTGAACCCACACTCCTAATTTATGATAAATTTAAAATGACTTCAAATAAAAGACACAAGATCGGCCTAGCTGTAAACATGCTTAGCTTTATCCCAGTTGCTGTTTAAGGGTCATGCGCCCTGAGAACATATTAAAATTGGCTAAAGCTCTAAAGCTAAGTTAGTTCTTCAACATGTGTGAATGCATAGACACGCTCAGATGGATTACATGTATATTTACGCCTCCAGGGAGTCGTGTACTCAGACAGGTAATCCAAAACAGACTTGTGTTTGAGGGAGATTGGGTCCATTGTGTGCAGTCAAGATAGCGCATTGCCTTGTGTCATGAATGGTGTGCAACTGGCGGGAGACAGACAGCATCATGAGTTATGAAGTGAGCACAAGGTTCTTGTTTAACCAAGGTTACAGCCTTCAATTTAAGAGGTACATGCGAGACCCTTCAAGATGCAGCAGCGGACACTTAAGTTTACTCTGGGGACCAACAACACGGCTCTGAAAGAAAAATGAGGGAGTCCAGAAACACAGTTGCACTGCTCATATAATGTTTTACTGCACAAAGCAAGCTATGAGAGGAGAAAGATAGCAGAATGCATTCAGTTCAGCACCTTCCTGTCAAAGTAGATGATGACTCTGGTATCTGTGGAATATTAGGAAATAATCATTTTGTGCATTTGCCAAAATTCTTGATCTCCACAAAAGGGACATTTTGAGAAATTTCCAATGGGTTTCTGGAAACCTAATTAGGGCTAGGATTCGATTTACATCCACCCATATTTGGAATACCCAGAAGGCAAAATTACAACACAGAGTAAGGAAGCTGAACAAGTGTCGAACAAGTTTGATCTTTAAGTTTCTAAAACTATATTTGTTTAGCATGTTGTTAAACAACAACACAACCCTCCCCATCCCAGTGATCTGGTAGATGTCAAGAGGTTAACGTAAACACTACAATTAGCAGAAATGACAAGCCACCACTCTAGATTTCTTGACAAACAACAGAAAACAGATGTG